GGGGGGGCGTTTGTCCGTGGCCTACACCCTGATGCAGGGTGAGAAAGGCAATGATGATGATGATGACACATCTCAGTCATTCTGGCGTAGAATATGACAACACCAGCCTAATGGTACACGTTGACAGAGATAGAAAATAAAAACGTGGCATATTATGGTCACGAAAATGACATAAACCAAAGTGGAAATGTTTCTACAAAGGGGAACAATTTAATAACTACTGTCCTGCTAGGCGAATGAATTACGAGCAGGTCTAATTATTTCCCTTACATAACAGAAACATAAAACATAATGGGGTCCATCTCTTAACAACTTGACTGTGGGTGGTTGGCGGGTGCTTTGGTGTGGTTTGCTCCATCTTTCCTATTTAAAAAATCTATCTTCTCTATCTTCCTTTCTTCTTTTTTGTGTTTGTTATTCTCTTGTAACTCCTCTAATCTTCGGCAGTTATATGACCTTACTGTCTTGCTAGTGCCGTAAAACTCTCACTAAAACTAAAACTACTTGACTAAAACTACAACGCCTCCGTGCTGTGATGGAGATCATGTGCTTAGAAAAAAACCTCCTGTGGAGATCTCTTGAGAAGTTTATGACGTGAAATGTTCCATGTGGTCTGTGGTACGTATGTATTGTAGTCTCGGGGAACTAGTCTGTCCTTGTGACCCGCACATGCTGTTTTCTTCCCAATCATCTATTTGTTTTAGTAAAAGATTTACGGCACTTGCAACACAGAAAGGTCATATGAGTGCCGAAGGTTAGAGATGTTACAAGAGATTAACAAACACAAAATAAAAGGAGGGGAGATAAGGACCATAAATGGTTGATAGGAAAGAAGGAGCAAACCACAACAGAACACCCACCAACTACCCACATCGTTGATATATTTTCCTGTAACACTGAACTAAATGACTTAATGACGTGGGAAGTTCCATGTGGCCTGTGCTCAGTACACAGTTCTCTTCCTCAGAATTACAACCTTCTGTTGGACATTTTTGGCTCTGGTTTGAGTAACTAAGACCACGGGGTCAGAAACCAGGTTCTATCCCCCCTATCTTAATCTTAAGATTCTTCGACGGAGTCGTTATCAAGATATTCATAAAATTACATTCGAAAAGGCTCGACATTATAGTTCTGTGAACTTCAAAATCTTTGACGTCAAATGTCTCAACAGTAGTTGGTGAGCAGATAGACCTGTGTACTTCTAGGGTAGCGAGTAGTCTCGGGGGTGGTGGGGGCTTCCTCTTTGGCTGTGACCACGCACCGCTTTCTTCCCAAAAGTATCACCGATCTCTGGACTTTACAAAATTGAAATCAATGACAAATTTTGTTCCCACATAAAAGCTACACTATACCTTGTGGAAATAGAAATTGTGAAATCAGGGGCTTGTAAAAATGAAATAAAAAGGAAAGGGTATTTTTCCACTGATTTGGAAATTTGTTTTTTCGAATTAAAAAAAAAATTGGTTCAACGCCTTTTAGGTCCATATAAAAACATTTCTGAGTGGACTTAACTGGAAACGTTGATTAAAGACACAAAAAGTGTAAATTTTCGTTTTCAAGGACTTCCTAGCTATGGCAGTCGGCTTACTTTGGCGACCATTTTCTCGCTAGTTTTACGTGTGGAACCAGGCGACCCTCCACCTTCAGTCGCAAATATCTCGACTTCTTTACAAGATAGATGGGTATTGTTTTTCGTCAAAAAACAAGACAAATGTAAAGGCTAAAAGATGATGCAGATTTTATTTAGTTTAAGGGTGAGCATATTCATCAAAAACTGCTAAGGGTGAGCATATTCATCAAAAACTGTTAAGGTGAGCATATTCTTCTAAATAGGGTGGAGCGAGGCAATCGTCAGTTGGTGGGGGTGGGGTGAACATTGAGCTATTTGTGTGAATGTTCGGTTGTCTTGCTTTTTGTAGAGAAATATCCACTTATCTCGATTAGAAACCGATACATCTAATATTGAAAGAGGTTTGGTTCGCTTGCTGTACAATGAGCTAGACAATGACCGCCAAACTCTGGTGACTTCCAAATCTCGATTGTCTTTGAAAAATTAAAATGTATGTCTTTTGTGTGCCTTTGGACAACAGGGTTTTTTCTGTAACATAATTTATACCACCTTCTTAATTTGTAAATAGCTATTGAAGAAGATACTTGGGAATTTTTGCACCAAACGTAAGACAAATCAACAACCTTTCAGATGATATAAATGACCCCAAATATCCTAAAATTGACGAGCGGCTGATTGTACTGCGTAACAACATAAACGTAATGTAGATATTTTACGCTGCTATCGACACAATTTAGATCAGTGTCAACCCGGGCTGAGAGGGATAGAACCTGTCAGCAGAGAGACTCCAGATACTCGAAAACATTCTGCAGATACACGAAAACATTCTGCAGATACTCGAAAACATTCTCCCCACACCGGAATCGAACTCAAGAGTTGTGTGTGTGACGTCCAGAACCTGGCCGCTTCCTTCGCCACACAAACTTCGCTGTCCCGACGCGGTGGAATCAGGCGCTCGTCAATTTTTTGGTTTGTGGAGTAATTGGTATCATCTGAATGCTGATTTATTTGCCTTACTTCCAGTGAAATAAATATCCAACGTTCACGAATAGAACTCACGATATTTGCAATTGGAGGAGGTGAGGTCGCCATTTTTCAGAGTTGAAATTAGCGAGAAAATTATGGTAACCAAAGTTTGGTAACTCCAATTGCTAAAGAGTCTTTGAAAATTGAAAAATGGCACATTTTGTGCCTTTAATATATGTTGTTCAGTAAAATTCACATGCAAATGTGTTTTCATAGGATATACACGAGGTTAAGCCAAAACATTTTAAAAATATGAACATTTCCCAAGGCGGAAAAATGTCTGTTTCTCCCATTTCGTTCTGTTGACGAGTGCCTGATTTCACAACACAAATATCAGCTGTTGACAGCAACAAGTACAAGAACAATAGCGTCAATGTCATCGTCAACAACAACAACAACAACAACAACAACTACAACAACAACAACAACAACAACAACAACAACAACAACAACAACAACAACAACGACTGTGAGCACTCCCATCATCGTTTTCTGGCATCACCATTACATCATCATTGGTAACAATCACCAACATCAAGAGCCAGATCTGCCGTAGACATCGACCACCGTGGTTTTCGCCCTGCATTTTCATTTCTTTGCTCGGATTCTCCAAAAAAAAAAGATTTTTGAAAAAGATTATTTTTGTGCTTTTCTCAAAGTAAAAGAAGAAGAAAAACTCTTATGATAATCTGTGCTCGGACTCTAAAAAAAGAAGGAAAATGAATTTTTTTAAAGGAGAATAAAAGGAAAAGAAAAGGAACAATTATTCTTATCATCGGGGCCTCCCATCCCCTTCACCCATGTAAGTCTTTCCAAGTAAGTTGCTTTTGGTCTACACCTGGCTTTGCTTTCAGTTGTACCAGTGAGAGCTAGATTTTCAAATGTCACTGAATCGACATAAGAGCCTTCAACATCGAGCTCTCACCAGTAAAATTTAAGGCAATTACGATAATATTGTAGGTTTAAAAACAGTTTTCCAATAGTTTATTGTGAATGAGACGAACAGAAAGGCTTACTATCTAATTAATTGACTACACTTCTAGCTTGTCACCCTCAGCTTCTGTCCTCGATTTCATGAAATTCATTCTTGGAATTTTGTCCCCTGTATAAGTCCTACTATTATAAGTAACATATTGTGGTGTCGGTGGCCTAGTGGTTAGGCTCTCAGACTCGCAACCGTAAGGTCGTAGGTTCGAATCCCGTCAGGGACCCGACGTTGTGTCCTTGGGAAAGGCACTTTACACGGATTTTCCTCATTTCACCCAGGTGAGAATGGGTACCCGGTGTAATAAGCCCAAATCACTCTGTGCAAGAAACACTGCCATAGTCATTTTGGCAACGCTGTAAGCACTATCAGTAGTATTTATAGCACAGACCTTCACGCCAAAAACACTATTTCCGGTTACGCCAAAGACACTATCCTTGAGCCAAAATCACTCTGTGCAAGAAACACTACCATAGTCATAT